CTATATGTCATCAGATTGTACCATTTATTTACTTACTTAGTATTACCCATTTGTTCATTTGCAAAGTAACACAAAAGAATAGCTGAAATATTATTTTTATGAAATTCATCTTACATTTATATAAAACATCTTTGCAAAGCTGAATTCTAAATTACATTTCACTTGCTCCACAACAGTAATAACAATTATCTTCTCTATATTCACAGATCCTGAAAGGTTCACTTTCTTGACATAGCTCTCTTTTCTATCTAGTTTTCATTGTTCTGTGACTGCAATTTTGGCACATTTTCCCCCTTATGTGTGGTGTCAATGCATCAACACTAATGGCAAAGGCTACTTGTGCTTTTTCAGATTGGTACTTTTTTTCTGGAACAAGTGGTACATTTTTCTTGGGATTTTTACTCCCTTTTATTTTTTTATTTTTTTTTTCCTCTCCATATCTCTTTCCGTCTCTCATCCTGCCAGCCTCCCCTATATTGTCCCATGCTGGCTACCTTATGAACCAGTTCTGCAAATGCTGAACTATTAGTTCTCAAAGCAAAGCTCAGGGCTCACAGATGCAAGCAGCATAGCTTCAGTTGATATGGCAAGAAAATCCTCTTTGCAGTTTTGCTGAAAATCTTTATTTCCATATTTTAGAATAAATAAACTGGGAGAGTTCCACTATCTTCTTTCTGAAAGTCATAAAATGTACAGGGAAACATTTTTTCCTTTTTTACTCCAACGTTGATAATAATGAAAACTAAGAAAACTTACTCAGAAAGCCCTTCAGCTCTTAATTCATTCCTATTTGTTGGCTTAATGCCAACTTCCATGTCTCTCCACAGTTCCAAATATAAGTTATTAGATGGCTGGAAACACAAACAGATAACAATCATGACCCGAGATTTCAGAAGAAATGCCCACCTCAGCCTCACAGATTTTCCAGGCAGCTTATTCAGCGATCCAATGTGAGTATCTTATCTTCTTTTTCTAGCCTAATCATGCCTTTAAAGTGTTTGGTCCATTTTGAAAGCAAAAAACTGAGAAAATATCAGAAAAGATGATTTCTTGCCAACTGCACATTGACAAAACTAACAGAGGAATCTCATGACTGTGTTATCCTCATACTCCTGGCTTGTCTCCTGACTTTCCCCTGCTTTAGGCTTTCCACTCTTCTTTCTGCTGAATTGTGTGACCGGCTGCTCAGCCTCAGGCAACTCAGTTGTGGAGTCTGGGATCGTACTATTTGCAGTGTCATTGAGTTGTTTGCCTATGCTGGCGTTAGAAATTTCTTGCTTTCTGGAACATTTCACCCCACTCCCCATGTTCAGCCATGACTCCACTCCCAGGCAGCAGTGAGAGTGTCAGAGTGGATGTGATCCTTTCCCACCTTGCACATCCTCTGGCAGCCCCTCTGCCCCTGCTCTGACTGACACTTCTTGCTCTTGGGCGCATGGCATGAGCCAAGCGGTTGTTTTAACAGCATACACAGGCAAGGCAGTAACAGGAAAAGAACAGAGCATTCAAAAGTAGCAAAGCACACTCCATTTTCTTTTGTCATTTATCTAGTCCATGTCTGTTGTACTGCAGTTTTGCTTGTTTGCTTGCCTGTTTACTTCTGCTGGGAAACTGAGGGGGTATAGGGTTGTGGGACCATGACCCTGTGGCCACCAGCAAGGGTTTCACAGTCACTGCGTTTCATGAGATTCCTTTACGATTGCCTTGGCTGCAGAATCAGCACAGGCTGTTTGCTTTCCCTCGCTCTGTTTGCTTCCATTGGCTGTAACCAGTTTTTTTTCCAGTTCAGTTCCTTCCTTTCCTGGGATGCCAGTTAATGCCAGTTAACACCAATAACATCAGTGCCTCAGCTTTTCAGCTGAAAACAGGTTCTCACACCTGCTGAGCTTTTCACTATCAGTTGGCTACTGATAACACTGCAAAACATCCCTCATACCAATGCCATGCTAAGCAGCAGACCTCAGGATAAAATATTTCACGTTTCCACTTACTGGGAACATTTTTCCCTGAGACCTTATCACCATGATATAGTGGTTTTGGCACAGGGTGTAACTTAAGGAGCAGGTTGAAGCCCAGGGAGATCCCCAGTACCTCTGCAGCACTCACAGCTCAGTATGACAAGGGTGCATTGCCCTCTGGGCAGCCTAAACACAAATCCCCAGAGTAACAATGCCCCTTCATTTTTTTTATCTTGCCATTATGGTTTGTGCTGTGTACTGGCTGCTTTACCATCCATGAAAGCTGGTTACCTCCTGAGGTTACTAGAGGAGGCAAAGTTAAGACATTGCTGTGTTGCAGCTGGCATAGATACCATGAAATAAAGGCAGAACTAGGGAGGAAAATTAGGTTGTTTGGCCTTTATTTTCAGGAGAAGATTAGCCTGCTGGATTTCTAAGTAAGCAAGTAGGTAAACATTTAAAAATCAGTCCAGGCTCTGGCTTCTGAGGATAATGTAGGTAGCACTGAATTCCAGTTTTAAACACAGTTAAAAGAAATCTCCTTTGGTCTAAAATATCTTTTTATTTTTATTCAAAAAGAATAAAACTCATTGTTGTATTCACTTAAAATTCATCATTTCAAATCTGTTCATCAGAAGATTTGGGAACTCAATGAAAAGCAGCCTTTTTTTTATTACTTACTCCTGGAGGTAGTATGCTTCTTGTTGAGGGAAGATGCATATCCTAGTAAGCTATATCCCAAAGTATATAGGTGCCAGCAGCTATACATAATCAGTATATTTAGTTGGAAGACTACTTTTAGTTTAGGGGTTTGAACAGAAAGGCCTGCAGTTGCATTACATCTCTTACTTCCATCAAAATTAGTAATAGCTCACAGCTGAAGGACACTCTAAGTGTGATGGTAGTGGAGGTGCCTGCCCACACTGTCTTTGTAGAGATTGGCAGAATTAGTTTTGTGTAGAACAGGGGGAATGAAGGGACAAAGAAAGGGTGCAGAAGATCTTCACAAATGCTAGAAAGGCTGATGGATACTTCCAGTCTCACCAATGTACTGCAAGCTTGTCTCAATAATTTCACACAGCAGTCCCTATTTCAGCAAAGCACTCCTTTGTCAGTGGGATGGCAAAAGCTAATAGTAAAATTAAGTAGTCAATTCTTGTATATCTGATTACCTAAGGATGGGACAGATTTTCTACGTGGAACTTTCTATAACTCCACATGTGCAAACTTAACAGTTGGGAATCTGAATAACCCTAGTGCAAAGAGGGCATAGAATGGGGGAGTCTGGCATCAGTTCATGCTGTTCAGGATGCCTCACTTCCCACTGGGCTTTCCCCCTTACAAACATCCCCCCTTTTCTGCCAGACCTCACCAGGAGCCTGGAGACCCTCTCATAAATTCTCCGCAAAGCTGAACATGCTGTTGAATGGCAGACTGAGCTGAGCTCTTCTTGGCTTCTCAACAGGCAGTGGAGTCACTGACTCTGGGCCAGCCCTCCACAGGCAGGAGGAGTGAACCTCAGGGCCACACGGGCTTTTCAGTTCTCTGACTTCTTTAGGGCCATTACATAGAAAGACATTTGGGAGGCGGGAACAAGTGTGTAGCTGTGGAGTTAGCCCAGTTTCCAAACAGCAGGCGCTTGAGCAGTGCTGTGGGTTATATGAGGTGTGTGCTGTTAGAGGAGGTTGTTTACACACCACGTTATAGCAAAGGAATCTCATCATAGCCGATTTTAAACTTTGAAAAGATTTCAGCTCCTTCCCAGGAGCCGCTCTGGCCTAACAGCCTCTCTTTTTTTTTTTCAAAACATCTGAATAATGTCTTTAAAAGTTGACATTAATTTTTGCACATAGCCCATGTGCAAAAAATTGTTAACAGCCCTGATAGCATCCTGAGAGGTGGATATTTTGCATGGAAAATATGTTACACATGAGAGCAGAGCTAGGCTGACTTATTTAACTCCACACTGAAGGTACTGCCAATGCCAAACTTCCTGCTGGAACCAGTGCCCCTGTGGCATCCTTAGCTCTCCACCTTCTGAAGCCGACAGTGAGGCAGCTATCAGGGCAGTCGCAGCGTCTTTGTCAAATCTCCTTGTTAAGCAAACACTGATAAAGGGTGTATCATGCTTATTCTACTTAAGAAAAAAATGTTTAGGAATTCTCCTTCCTGGAAATTTTGCAAAAGCTACCAACATTCCACCTCTGCCTTCCCTCCAATGCTATCTGCAGGCATTAGTGTATTAAAACAAAAACAGCCAAGACAAAACAGCACTCGGTGAAAGAGAAGAAAAGCACAAACAAGGAGCCTGCAGCACTGCCAAATTATACAACAGTGATTCCCACCAGGGATAGCTGGGACAACTTTCCTCACTGAGGCCAGCAGGTCTGCTGAGAACACTTTGGGGTTCCCACACCAGGACCAGGACTAGGATGAGGCAGGCAGCCCATGTAGGCAGCTTTCCTGCATCCATGTAGCTTTCGCTGTGGTGCAGCCTCTGGCCACTGCTTCCCCCAAAGCTAGCAGAGGTGGAGTGACTCCTAGCAGCTCTCAGAATCAAGCCTTTGACTCAATATAACTGAGACAGTTTTTCCAGAAATAATTTTCATAGGAAGAGGGTGGCTTGCTCTTCATTTGCTTGTAAAACAGCATGAGCATTTACACTGTGAAAGACATCGCAGACTGCAGAGGGCTGCCATGGCTTTTTTTTCCTCTCTGCTATTTCTCACCACAACTTGCTCAGTTTACAAGAACTAAGCAATGCTGTACGTGTGCGCTCAGTGCCCTAACTTTAGCTGACACAGCAAAAACTTCAAAACCTCCCCTTAAGTGTGCCTTCTCTGTTAAAAAACCTGTGCATATGAACACCAGAGAGAGGAGGAAAAGAGAGAGAGAGAGAGACTTTAAGCTAATGGCTAAGGAATGTGCATCGAGTTGCGTGTGGATGTCTAATGTCTCCAACTATTTGTTAACAGGCAAAAGCAGTACTTCCGACAAACGGCCCTCCCCTCGCCTGCAATAGGCTCCCAAGAATAGCAACAGCCTGTGTCACTGCAAAGGGCAAAGCCTTCTGAAATAGTAACAAAGTTGTTCTCAAACCACTTTGTGGTTTGCATTTGGTTTCAGACAGCTTCAGAAACTTGTTGCCATGAGGAAAATAACCTGTGCCTTGCCCTCCGTCCAGGGAAGGACTGCCGCCCTGTGAAATGCTCCTGCTCCAAGGTGCAGAGGGGCTAGCAATGGTACCTGGGCAGAGCAAGGAGGACCTCAGCCAGCAGAGCCAGATGATGAAAGCAGGGGAGGATGAGGAGAGCAGCCGGGGCAGCCACCGCAGCAGCCGCCACCACCTCCATGAGCTCCCGGCTGCAACAGGTAAAGTGGCCGGAGCTGAACGCCAGCTGTTAGCTTGTCAGCAGAGCAGCAGCGTGCCCGTGGAGCTAATGCTTGGGGCTGTGAAAGCAGCACAGCAAAGCCAAGGGGCGTCCCAGGGCATGAGACTCTCTATGTCTAACAGTGAGAGAGGGGAAAACATGAGTAAAGAAGAGAAATGCCAGCTTGAAATTTGCATGAAGCTTTATGCTATACTTTTCCCAAAAGGCCTCGGTCCTACTCTCTGTGCATGTGTTGTTTGTTGTGTAGAGGCCTTCCCTTTACATAGATCAGTCACCTGAAAAATTGGAAAACCCTCTGGTGCCCAAGATAGCAGCTGTGCTCTGGCTCTTTCATGCTCGGAAGCAATCCAGCCCTTTTCACGGAAGTGGAGGGAAGCCAGTCAAGCACTGCACCTGCTCACATAGAGGGAAAGTGCAGGGTGGGGACATGGGGACTCCCTCCTCTTTTCTCCCCTAGCGTTTCAGGAAGAAATAGGGTTTCTGTGCTGACACCCTGAAAAATCAACTGCAGAATTTCTTCTTTTGAGTACTGAAGCTGAATTTCGTAGCTCTTCACCTTTGCTGTCCTGCCCAGACAGTTTGTCTAAGTTACAGCACGGTTTTGCACCTTGAGTCCCTTTCACTGATGATAAGGTCAAAGGGAAAATGACCCACAAACATGATATTTCTCACCCACAAGACAGCTGTACCCAAAGAGGAAAGTACAGTTGTAAGCCAGAAATTACTATGTCCCAAGCAGGTTTTGTTCACTTAAAAATGAATGAACTGACAAACCCACAAATACTGCAGGCAGAAATGCTTTGCTGGAGTATAATAGTGATCAGTCTAGCAGTATCTACTGATACCTGGATGCAGAGGTCAATCAAGAACAGAAGGCCGGTTGGTGTACAGACATATTTAACATTACCTGAGGGCATGGGGGAGCAAAGCAGGTGCATCTAGGATAACATTATCAAAGGGAAGCACAGCAATTACAATAAACAGACAGCAAAGTTACTGCAGCACAAGGGCTATGGCTAGAAGGGTACATGCAAGTTACACACTTGGCCTTACCCTCAGAAATTAAAGCAGCAACCTGAGGAATTTATAATTGCCTAGCTAGGAATTAAAAGAACTTGTTGGTTCTTACTGGAAAATAATAAAACAAAACCCATTCAATGTAATCACGTGCCAGGCTGCCTGTTGACATAATGAAAATACATGGAAGAGCACTAAGAAATGGAGAGGTGGTGAGGGTGGGTCTGCTCAAGATCTGCATTCCCTGTCTTTCCATCAGTGCCAGGGGACCGTTTTTCATGAAATTCAAATATTACACAATACTTTAATTGAGCTTATACTGTACAAAGTATACAATGCTTCCCACCATCGCAGGACTTTAGATGTGTGAAAATATACAATTCCTTCTGCCTTCTTTTTTAGTCAATTTACAAAATATTTGTTTGGTTTTGCCTTTCACATTTGGGTGAGAGGAGTCACACTGGCCAAATGGTCATGGATCCCACAAGGCCCTGACACTATTTTTGGGTAAATTTAATGTATTCTGAGATTTTCCAGCTCTGCTTGCAACATAACTTTGTCCCAAAGCTACCATTTGTTTCTTCCTATAGGGTCTTGTTGGGTAACTGATTAAGATCCCATGCCAGACTTCTAGATGGGCAGTTAGATCACATTTATCCCAGCTAAAAGGAGAAACACAGCTATTAAATAGCTATTGGCTCTAAAGAAACCTCAGGCATTAGAATAGATCAACAGGGAACTGGATGAGACAGAGGAAGGGACTGTGACAGTGACAGTGCAGCAAAGATCATGATGGCATGAAAATAGGATAATCACCTTTTACAAGAAGCAAAACCATAATTCAATCATGCAGCAATTCCCAACACATGCCATTAAGTATTTATCCTACAAAACCATCTGATCTACGCGCTATATGCTTTAGCAAAATGCTTCTCTAGAGACAGCTTGGGGAATTGTAAACACTATTTCCCTTTAATGGCAAACGTTTTGTATGTCAGGCAGCATTCACATAGAGAAGAAATATGTTGTTAAAGATAGCTTAAAATTTTCAGATAGAGATGCTGTAGTTTTATCATGGATAAATATAGATACCTTTTTCTGTTGAAGAAGGGATATTCCATGCTGTGGATTCATATCTATGCAATGCACTCAACTAACTCTAATTTTCTAACCTGTGCTTGTTAACCAAGGATTGACAGAGCTTGATTTCACCTTCCAAATGTCTAAATAGATCAAAGTATCCCCAAAGATTTAAAGAGCATATATTTGACCTTGCAGGAAAATAATTTCCTTCCCTCCCAAATTGAGACATTTCTCACCTCAGATTAAATCAAAGTCAACAGAAAAAAGCATCATGTTGGAAGCGACTGTCAAATCCCCTCCTATCAAAAATAGATGTATTTGCACAGGTCACGCAAAAAAAAAGTAATCTCTCCACATCCCATTCCATCCCACTAGTTTTCTGTACACACACTGCTTGTTCTCTTGGGAGAAAGGAAAGAAAATGTACATAAATGAAACCTCAGTGTCTGGATTAATGTGGAGTATGGTGTGTGGTACTGTCAAGGTGAGCTGCAAAGGGCTCCTGAGCACCTATCCCATAGCTCTACTGCACATGAAGTTGGGGAAGAGAGGTGCTTCCCAGCTCAGCTTGCTTGTAGGTCTTCCCTGGCACAGATCATTTATCTGTAGTGCCCAGAAAATTTAGGCACAGGCCAAATATTTTGTGTTTGGAAGGACTCTATTTTCCCAAACATGTGCTTGAAAATAAGGTCACATCCTTATTACTTGACCCTATGCAGTCTCACCATCAGGACTCTGTGCTATACCACAACTGTGCTTTGTCTCCTTTTCAGGAACCTAGCATGCACACTTCCAGCAAATGTTCTTAAATATGAGTTTGTTTGCCAAGTAATGCTGCTTTTGACCTGAGTAACAGTTGTGAGAAACCAGTTTGTTTACATGCAGAAACTCTAGAATAGACTTTCCAATCATTTGTCACATACCAGCCACACACTCGTTACCCATGGTGTCTGTTGCAAACAGAAAGAGAAATTTCTCTGGAGGATATCATTAAAATATTTTATTCCCCTGGGATGCACAGTGCCATGGAATTTTCAGGCTTCCCATGAAAATAAGAGGAATATAAATTTTAAGAACTTTTTTTAGGGGGAAAGAAAAAAAAAAAGAATGCCTAAGAACTGCCAGCAACATAATTAAAAGTGACACTTAAAAGGATTGTGAGTGCAACTACTGCAACATGCTTTATCTGGAAATGTTAAAGCAAAACATACACTGAAGTCAGAGGGAATTTTGACCAGAGGAGGACTGTAAAGGAAAACCAAGCAGAGATTTCAGGGCTTGACTCAGCAGGTAGCTCTGAGCAGTCAAGTCTTGGGTACACCAGTTACAACAAAACCTCATAGCTATATAAGGGTATTTCTCAGCAGAACAGGGCCTGTGAGGAACAAGAGACACCAAGTTAACTGCTGAGTTTGCTGCTGCTAACTCAGAAAGACAACATGTCTCCCTTTGCATCACATTAGAATCTGCTTTTCATTTAGGGGCCTGCGCTAGTTACAGCCCTCCTCTATTTCTATATGACTGTGTGTATCTGTCACTGGACACATGAACAACGATGCCACTTGGTTATTCAGACATTATTCAAGCTGCTGTACTTGGAGAGACAAGAAATATATGGGCTTGAGTGCTTCCCTATCAACTTCCTAAATGTCCAAGCTTCACAACCAGTCTGTACAGCCTCCCAGATTAGAAATAAATATTCGCCTTGGTTTCTCTGAGGACCACAGGCTGAGGAAAGCAGAGTCTGGATTGTAAAGAACAGTGCTGGTGCTGGACTCTGTCAAGATATTTGACTTTGCACTCTCTTTTTGAATCAAAAACTGGAACCATACAAAACTGGCAGTTGCACATTTAAAGAATTAAAAGCTGTGCAGGACAGACCTCAAAGTATCAATAGGAGACGCTGCCCAAGCTGCTGTATTTCTGCTGGTAAGCCTTACACTCAGTTTTTGTCCCTCTGCTGCTTAACATCTTTTCTCAGTTGCTTGAAAGAAAATAATAATGTATTATTTGTGGGTGATTAATCAATGGGATATGCTACTGCCTGAATGCAGTTTGGGTGGTTTGGCCTGCTGACTGCAAGTAAAAGTACTGTCTGGGATTCCCCTGTGCTAACTTTTGGCTTCTGCATCTGGGCAAGCCACACAGACTCCTTTTATAGGCAATGGAGAGAAATAGGCATCTGACCTACTTCAAATATCTAGACATGCCTATTTTTCACAACTGGTTACAGAAAAGATGTAGAGATGCTTCAGATCTCTCACAGTTAGGTAAGTTGAAACCATTCTATGTATTTCAATACAGACATAAAGTGATTTGCATTCCTAGGGTCAAAAAAGTCAGGTCGTATTTAAAAGAAAGGCAGTGCCTTGAGAAGAACCCTGTCAGAAAAGGAGTTGGTTGTCCTGTAGGGTAACCAGCAGAACATGAGCTCCTGTACATGCTGTGACAGTCTTTAGATGAGTAGAGGAGGAAAATTGTCAAGTTTCTATCTGGCATTGTGCAAACGCTGCAGGAGCACTGGGTCCAGTTCATAATTTACTGAAGAAGTTGATAATCTGGATAGAATTCAGAGAAAACAGCTTTGAATACTTAAGGGACTGGTAAACTTGTAAAGCCTCACAGGCTAAGTAGCTTATCAAAGAGAGGTCTTTGGAATGACCAGATAACAGGCCATAATTTTGTACTTGGTGAACACAGCTAAATGTAGGCAAACAGAGAATGTTATATGATGGCTGGAAGATGAAGTTGCAGAAATTGAGCCTAGAAATAATTTACAGATAATTTACAGTGAAAGAAATTAGCCACTGGGAGAAATAATGACTTAAAATCATTTGCTTTCAACCACTAGCAATTTTTAAATCAAAGCTGAATATTTTAAATGGCCCAGTTCAACTAAAATATCATTTAAATGAGTCTGAAGGGTTATGCTGTGCTGTTCATAAGTGTCAAATTGGATGAACACAATGGTCTCTTTTGGCTTTATAACGTATAAATTAAGGCAAAATCCTAGGTTAAATCTACATGGCTCAATGATGTAAAATACAGAGATATCCAAGACAACATAAATACCAGCACTGAGCGGTAGTTTGGGCAGAGCACTGTGATACTGTGATCAAATTAGCAGTGTAACTTCTGGTACCCAAGCTCATTAATTCAGCACAACTCTGGCATTACCAGCCCTGATTTGTAGCTGGGATTCATTGAAGGCTGTATTTTCCAGATCTAGTAACAGGCAGCAAGAAGGCAAGTTAAAAGTATAAAGGGGAGGGACAAATTAAGTTTTACAATTATAACATGTATATTGCATGCATGCATTGGAGGATGGAGCACAGGAAGCACAAAACAGCTTAACTGGAGTCAGTAGGATTTCCACTGCAGTACTGTTCAGTGCAGTTCTGTGTATGAAGGAAGTACAGCAGGATCTTGCCCTAACCTGACCCATTCACTAACTTCTGCTTAAAGTAAGTGCAATGACCTTGGATACTGCAGATATGAAAGAAGAAGCTTTAGACATAATACAGACATGGATAACAACAGTATATATATAAAAAAAAAGTTCCATCACTGAAGCATTTTGTAAATTTGTTTCTGACATTTTCTTCAAGATGTCCTACTCCATCACAAGGAATCTACCATCTACCCCCACTTTATGAAAGACTTCTCACAATATCCCATTTCCCCCATGCTGTTATGGCCCATCATGACAAAACCATGTGTTTTTTTACCATATACTATCTCTGGTTTTTCAGTCACCCAAGCCCAGAGGCAGAGTAGGCTGAGTGGAGTGCACTCAATAGCTCCTGCTGTTGCCACTTGGCTTCTGCCTCACTAAAAGGGAAGGAAGGGAGAGCCAAGTAGAGAGCTAATAGGTGGTGATACTTATCTTAATAGACTTAATGGTCTAACTAATATCCCCTGACCCTGGAGGCACAGTTTATATTCACACTGTATACTCTGCTACCTCCAAAATGATTCAGCCTTCTGTGGAGTGGCTGCAGGGTGTGACAGCAGGCTCACATCTTGAGCTGCCTTCAGGAATTGTTAGGAGAGTAAGAGTTGGCTTGAGGCACAAACATGCCAGGGACCATGACAGCAATTTAGCAGGATATGCGGCCATGTGCCAGGGTCTGGGCCTGGGCTCTGCCACTCTTTATTTTGGTAATGCATACGTACTGCTAGGGCTGCCCTTCTCCTCTCTTTTCATGATTTGCTTTAGAAATGTAATATCCTCTGTGTGCTCAAAATGTGCTCAAAAGTTATTGGCGAGGAACTCCAGGCAGTCAGTGTGATCAAAGAGCCTTAATGCCTTAGAAAAATAAGCTAAAAATAAACAAAGTATATGTATCATTTTCAATTAGACCATACACCAGTTTCCAGCTTGCTGCAGGAGAATTAACTGAAAGACTGACTCAGTTATGCTGCAAAAGCTACCTCTCCTCAGATACATCCTATCTCTTCAACTAACCAGAAAATCAGAAGTCAATTTTCCTGCTTGTGTGGCAGCCAACATCATGATGAGAGGAAAGTCATGCTGGGAAAAAGAATAAGACCAACAATAACAAACTGATACATTCTTCAAGGTTTTGGGTGTAAAAGGCCTCACAGTTACTAGAATACAATCAGTCAAATCTATCTTGTAAAAATAAACAATGAATCATAGTTGTATAAAATTTAAAGTGGACATTCAAAAGCATATAATCTCCACTTGGTTTATGCTTTCACCATCTGTTTTTTATTCCTGACATTGTGGCCATCATAAGCTACAATTTATATATGCAAAATATTAGATCCTGATATTCTGAAGTATCTGAGATTAGTGATGAACAAAACCCAGAAAGTTCCTGAATTTGTACCTCAAAGCCTGGTTTCCCTACAATATCCCAGCTATCTGAATCAGCCTGGTGCTTGCTGGATAAGTTTTCATTTTGCAAAATAAAAACACTGGTACCAGCAGCCTTCATGGTATCCTCAGGTGAATCAAAAGAATTGGTAAGTGGTAGGAACAGTGTAACTTGTTAGTTATTCAAGTCAGGGTTGAAGCAATTTCACTTGGAAATTATTGTTTTCCTTGCACATGGTACACTAGTTAGGTAAACAAGACTTTCTCAGTTCAGTACAGCAAAAACACTGAGAACATCTCAAAGGCAAAAACTGTTTTCTTAAGAAAAGATTGTATTGTCAGTGTTGCTTTTTGTAATGTCACTCTGAGAGAGAAGTTTTAATATTTAGGGCCAGATCAAAATCTTATTGACTTCTGATCAGGAAGATAAGAAACCTAAAAGCTTTAATATTAAAGAGGTGTTTATAAGAAATAATTATAATTCCCCCCCCCCCCCCCCAATATCATTTTATGTCACCTAACAACTTCACCTAAAAATTATTAAAAGATTTTTTGGACTGGTATATCAGTCCAAATATAAAGTTATTATTAGTTGTCAGAACATTGCAGAAGTCGCACTTCTAATTTATTGTGTTTTTTTTTTCTCCAATTTCAGGCTGTGGAACATTTACCTTTTTATCTTCTGCCGTTGCTGCTGTGAGTGGACTTCTGATGGGCTATGAGATGGGCGTTATCTCTGGAGCTCTTCTTCAAATGAGCAGCATATTAGAGCTGTCTTGCAAAGAACAGGAAATCGTTGTGAGTTCCCTGCTTTTTGGGGCCTTATTCGCATCCCTTATTGGTGGATTCCTGATAGACCGATTTGGAAGGAGACTTGCTATTATTATTGCATCTTCTTTACTTGTGTTGGGGAGTTTGATTATACTGCCCTATGAATCATATGGGCTACTTATTGTGGGACGGATTGCCATAGGTATTTCCATATCATTATCATCAATTGCAACATGTGTGTATATTGCTGAGATCGCGCCAAAGCACAGAAGAGGCCTCCTAGTATCATTAAATGAACTCATGATAGTGATGGGCATTCTCTTTGCCTATATTTCAAATTATGCTTTTGCTAGTGTATCTCATGGCTGGAAGTATATGTTTGGCCTTGTGATTCCATTAGGTGTTTTGCAGGCTGTTGGCATGTATTTCCTTCCTCCAAGTCCTCGGTTTCTTGTAATGAAAAACAATGATGAAGCTGCGAGAAAAGTACTGGAGAGGTTACGGGAAACATCAGATGCTACTAAAGAACTTACTGCAGTCAAGTCTTCCCTGAAAGATGAAGATCAGTATAGTTTCTTGGACCTGTTTCATTCAAAAAACAACATGAGAGCTCGAATGTTGGTAGGACTCACCCTAGTCTTTTTTGTGCAAACAACTGGGCAACCCAACATTCTATTTTATGCATCAACTGTTTTGAAGTCAGTGGGGTTCCAGAGCAATGAAGCTGCCAGCTTGGCTTCTACTGGAGTTGGAGTAGTTAAAGTGGTCAGCACAGTCCCAGCCATAGCTTTTGTGGATCAAGTTGGAAGTAAAACTTTTCTATGTATTGGCTCTTCTGTTATGGCAGTATCTTTGGTCACAATGGGCTTAGTGAACCGTAACATAAATATGAATTTCACCAGCATCTGCAGAAGCCAGTCTCCAGAGGATTTATTTCACCAGAGACCAGGAAACCCCAGTGGTGTCACCAATGGTAGCCTCAAGGACCTCTCTGCTAGTGCAGGTTTGCCAGAAAGATTGTTATTTGATGCGCAGAGAAGCCCAGATGTTGCCAAGACAGGAGAACTGAACAGTACTGCCCTTGCAGGAGGCAAAAGCACAACAGGTTTTCACATGGAAAGTGAGGAAGTTCCTGTTGTCCTGAAATGGCTCTCGCTGGTCAGTCTGCTTGTTTATGTTGCTGCATTTTCCATAGGTCTTGGACCAAGTAAGTGTTCATTTTTCTAACTCTTTGTAATGATTTACTTGCATGTGGATTAAGTGCTGGGTTGACATGCCTGCCTTGGCATCAGGCAATTCCCAAGTTAGGCAAAGCAACATTTCCTGCTAATATGCACTGGCATTGTCAGAGACAGTCCTGGGGGGCCTGGGGTGTACTTTTTAGGAAGAGGTCCTGCCCAGTAAGGCCAATGGCCTAATCTCTCTTCAATTCAATGAAGTTAAAAACTGCTCTGAGCTTTGTACCACAAAATTTTGGGACCCGTCCATATCTTTCCTTTTCCTAGTCTATTGTGTCCTTACATTAGGAAGGTTAAGATGCAGGCATTTGCTGCTGCTAACTCGTAAACCCAACATAAATCTCAGCCTAGTGTGATACCATCATATCCATGAAATGACAGCATGCCTGAGTCCTGCTGAGGATCTGGCCCCTTGACTATATAATATATATTCTATAAATATAGAAAAGACATTCAAGGTATCATAGTTCATGAGCAAACTGTAGTATCATCACTACTACTGGTGCTGAACAGCACAAGTGGAAAAACACAAAGGCACATCACTAAACAATCGAGGTACTGCTGTGGCTACCATCACATTTGCACAGTTTACACTCTCTACAGACAACATGTCTGCCATTCCCAGATACTAGCAATTACATCTCTACATTTTGTTTTATTCTGTTGTGTTCCAATAGCACTAACATGTTACTGTTCTTTGAAAGGGTTGATTTTTTAAGCCACACTGCAAAACCCCCATGCTCGGAGTCCATTATTCATTAACAGCCTTTATGTACTTTTTTGCCCTGGCTCAAACTTGCCCCGCAAACATAGTGTACTCCCGCTGTACTATTATGATAAAAAGCTTGACACAAGAATACAATCCAACAATTGCACTAACAGCAACTCCCCTGCAGTATTTATTTATTTTAAACATTACACACTGCGTGAGCAGCTTGAGATAAGCATTCATTGCCAGGGCAGCAAGCTTGACTGTGTTGTTGCAGAATTATTCCTTTCCTTACAGATCATCCTGGGGGTGGATTCTGCTTTCAGTGACACAGGTTCAAAACCAGGGGTGCAGCCCTGAAAAGAAAACGTTACTTGAGCTTTTACTCCTTGTTTCAAACACAAGATTTAATGACCCTCAAGGCAGGGGCACACATTCAGGCTTGGTGTCTTGTTGAAAGGTGCTTTCCTGTTGACCTGGCTGTGAATGGGTCCCCAGTCATTTCAGTTGCCTTAATGGGAAGTTAAGGATAACGACTGCTTCCTTGAAGGCTACAGAGACTGATGTATATTTGCCAGGATAATCCGAGAAATCTTTGAGGATGTTGTCTTTTTTCTGATCTCTTTTTTGACCATGAGCACAAATGCTCTCAAACAGCAAATATGAAAGAACAGGCCCGGACTCAGCTCCACCATGTTAAAATCATGTATGATATGTATCACATTGAGGCAATTTATGCAGACAAATATATTTGCATAGAAATGAAGGCCTGGTCAAGGAGAGATATAGGTATTTCAAGGAAAGTACTGTCAAAACATTTTCATGCCTTTAAAAGTTAAAAACTGACAATGTCTAGAAAATGCAGGAGTCTGAAAATCAAGAGATTGTTTGAATCTGTAAAGGATCTATTGTGGTTAAATAATCAGGGCTGGAATCCAAAGTTATGATTTGCGTCTCATATGCAGCCTTCAACATCTGCTTCTTGGAGCCCAAATCCTTGAATGTATGTTAAAAGCCTAGCTCAGTGTGCCTTTCTTAGTGTAAAGAAAAGCAGTCAGAGCACTTCTGCTTATATAAACAATTTTAACATGTTTAGGTTGTTAATCTCTAAATCTGGTCTGTGGCCTGGACCAGACTGTTAGACATTGTCTACTCTGCAGAGAGGGAGGCATTAAGGCTGTACTCACTGGCTGCTGTTGCCAAGCAATGCCTGGACACCAGGGGACAGAAGCACTGTAACCCCCATACAACTGTATTTTCAGTGGGAAATCTCATAATCGGTGTGATGTCTGCCCATCCTGCTGGCTGAGACAAGGCACGGCTGGGAATGTGTCTGCTTGTAACCTACAGATTAAATCAGCCTCTTTTGGACAAAGAGCAAAGAGAATCTTGATCTTTTCTCTCCACCCCATAAGGCTATTCCTGGAAAAAAAAAAACAACAAATCACTCAGTTTATTTTGAGCCTGTGCTAAATCCTGTTCTGTGGGGATAAAGGACAGTCCATTTATTGCTGTTAGGAAAATGGTACATTCCTGATACACATGGTACACTCTCCATGCAACTTCAGATCATGCAACCTGAGTTCTATCATCTTCTTTTTTTTAACTACTTGATGGCTTTCCCCAGCCCCCCTTCCTTCTGGGGGACTCTGGCTAAAGAACTACTTACAGTCTAGATTTGCAAAGCAGATATTTATGAATGTTGTATTTTTCCATGATTTCTCTTTTGTCTCCAAATTACATAAAGTAGATGGATTTTTTTTTTTAATGAACTAAACATATGCTAAATATATTTATTGCCATTTATCAAAGCATCCAGGCAGCATTCAACTGAGTGCTCATCACTCCTCATTTTGAGTGATGAGTACTCAAAAAATAGACAGAGATAAAAGCCATTTTTGCATTATAAAAGAATTCACAGACTAGCAAGCATCTACTTAGTTATGTTTTTGATTCTGGGGTGCTCTGCATTTATATCATCTGCCCTTAGGCAAGATAAAATGAGTATTTCTGCTGCTCTGTTTCAGACTAATTATGTTTGATAAACTGTGATTCAACTGTTTGTTCACACTCAATTTCACACAATTATGAGGACGTTTTGTAGGTGCAACAGATCAGTGTTACATCACGTTGCAGAACAGCACATGCTGTCTCTCCAGAGACGTTTGTAGAGGTATTTCAAAGCAGTTATTAACTAAGGAGACTCACTTGACACCTGTCTTGCCTTGAGTTACCTTTGTTTGTATATCCAAATGAGGATCAACCAGTCTCACCAGGAAAATATGCCTGCAAGCCAAAGAAAAACCACTCTCTGGCTGCCATGTGAAGAGTGAAGAGTGTGAGAGGGGCTCTAAAAGTTCAGTGTGACCCTGGAAATTAATTTAGCACAAAGGACACTCAGAGCAAGTCTAGTCAGGGCCACGGCCATGCATGACCAGTTACTAAATGGCACAGGGTTAACTGAAATAGTTGCAGAGCATCTCATTTGCCAGATGCTCTTTGCAAACCACTTGACAGGCAAAAAATAGTTGTCTATTCTTATAATGAGGGTTCACCTCCTTCATTTATCGCTGTTGTGTGATACAATGTATTGAGATGAAGGAACCAGGAAAGACAAACTCCTTATCAGGCTTATTTTTCAAAACGAGGCTGTAAATGTGGAACTTTTGGAGATGGATAAAGCATGTGCAAGAGAGTTCTCATGGTTAACACCTGTAGGGCAGCTGTAGCCTTTCTGAAACAGAGTGGGTCCAGCCCAGAGCCCTGCTGCTTTCCCCACAGACCTGACAAACAAAATTCAGGTGTTTTTGTCAGGTGGCACCTGTTACCAAAGGTCTCCTTCTCTGCCTTGATCATCTCCTTTGATGCCATTTGGGATCTAGGACTAAATAGGGACAACTTCTTTCCATGTGTTTCTGTATATCCCCTGAGTGACAAGGCCTCACCGGCGATCTCACCAGTAAGTAGCCAGAAGAGAGACAGTAGCGCCACACACATTAGTAAAGGGATACATTGTGGTCTGGAGGCAATCCTCTTCACTGAATAAAAATCAAAGGGGCTCCAACAGTCCTTGGCTGAGAAGTAGGAAATGCAAACTCAGTCTGGACAAAACAGAGCATCTGTTGCATCTGTTTTCCCTGTCTGAATTGGTTGCAGTAAATAAAAAGCAAGTGAGCAAAACAGGAGTTGGGCAATACCTCTTCACGCATATTGCAGGAGTGCAGTTCAAGGGGATCCATGAACATCATGGGGATATTTTGCTGTGGACTGGAGAACACATTGAGAGGGGGATGGCAAATGTGTGCATTTGGACTGCATGTATGGCATTGGTGCCTTGCACAAAAGATCTCTTCCTCCTCTGTCAGTCCTCTGGAGATGTTTCTGTACAACTGCAAAAGCATTTAGGCAGTTGGTCAATAAACTTTGGGATAATCTGTTGGTGCAAATCACATCAGCTCTGCTGACATTGTGACAGTTCATGGGAAGGGGATGGCTTCTCTTCTGAATTGCCTGTTGCTAAAGACTTTCCATTCAGCTTTAACCCAGATGCTTGGGTCCCAGGTTTGATGCTAGTGCTTGAAAGGGTGGCAGGCCACCAAGCTGCCCTTGGGTTTTTAGTTTCACGCTGATGAAATTCCTCTCACATGAGGGACCTGAGATTGCGGCTTCATGTACCCCAGCATAGAGTCCCCTGAGAAGGGGCAGTGACTATGATCCCCAGCAAGCCCTGCTGTGATGCACCATATCACTGCTGTGGAAACGCTCTGTGGGCCTCAGTGGCCCTGTAAGGAACAAAACTTGTGCGCGGAAGTCAATGAAGGCAAGCCCCTAGTGGGGGAAAATCTTAGGAGCAATTTTTTCTGATGAAAGACTAGTTTGGGATGAGAATATCCATTTCTAATTTAAATGTGGGCAGATTTGCCATATTGAGTATATCAGCTTGAATTGATGCTTTACTACTGAGCTAATTTATTCATAAAATGGAACAGATGTTTCAACATATTTGGAAATTTAGCTGATGTAGGAGCCAGATTCGTCAGATAATTGACAAAGGGAAATATTCTCCCCACCTAAGGGGGGCTTTCAGACCCATGTTCTCTGACCTCTGCTTTGGAGCAGCCCTCTTTTCCTCACTAGCTATTGAGGAAGTTTAGGGAGACCAGGAACTTAAGCTAGACTGTGTGATACCATTTCACATATAACATGCATTAACTTTTTATCAGCCCTGAAGTAGTCACACAGTTGGTCTAGGTGAACACT